CAGTCATTGGATCCAATTCAACACTTACTAGTTCAGATACAAGCAGGGATACATCAACAACCACAGCAGGACCAACAACAACCACAACAACAACAACAACCACAGCAGCACCAACAACAACCACAACAACAACAACAACCACTGCTGCACCAACAACTGCAACAACTAGCACAGGTGCACCAACAACTACAACAACTACCACAGCTGCACCAACAACAACCACAGCAGCACCAACAACAACCACTGCTGCACCAACAACTACAACAACTACCACAGCTGCACCAACAACAACCACTGCTGCACCAACAACTACAACAACTACCACAGCTGCACCAACAACAACCACAGCAGCACCAACAACAACCACTGCTGCACCAACAACTACAACAACTACCACAGCTGCACCAACAACAACCACTGCTGCACCAACAACTACAACAACTACCATAGCTGCACCAACAACAACCACAGCAGTACCAACAACAACCACAACAACAACAGCAACCACAGCAGCACCAACAACTACAACAACTACCACAGCTGCACCAATAACAACCACAGCAGCACCAACAACAACAACAACGACAGCAGCAGTAACAACAACTGCCACAGCAGCACCCACAACACCAACAGCAACTGAATCAACTGATCCTTCAAATGCTCCTGGAATACAAACAACTACCATTACGACCTCAGCTTCCACAATACTCTCAGCTCTTGAGGTGTTAATTTCGGCAGCATTGGCAATTCAGTGCTTTGCGTAAATAATTGCTAATCCTGCCGCGACACATATCCAATTTTTTTGCTGCTGCTTTTGTCTTTAACTGACTTTGATTAATTTAACACATTCTCTCTTAATAATACGTAAATTGTAATAAATTGTTTAAGCAAACGCTCATCATTACCACCTTTCCAGACGAATGGATTGATATCTATGCTGATTGGGCGATATTATGGTAATCAGGTTTAGATCTCTCTAAAATCTCTTGCTTGATATATTATTATCAAAGCGGTTAAAACGAGTCAGATTAGCACTTGGGTCAATAAGCTAGCATCATCCAAATTTTATCAACAGACTATATATTGGAACGCACATTGTCACCAATTGGATAATATCAGCTCAAAGACAAATTGGGCAATCATGCTAATTTAAGCATAACAACCTTGATTTTGGCAGAGTTATTACAAATGTAATGATTAAATTTTTATTTGCCCAAACCACCAACACACCAACTTGATATTTAAGAATACTATTTCGTTTGACTTAAAGAGTTCATCATATTAGGATCATGCGTAGTCTTGTGCGTTCACAACGTGCACGCCCGTGAAAGGCACCAAGTGTTTAACACTGACGCCCCAATGTACTGAGCCACTTGAGGGTCAAGCAAACCATTTATGAACGTTAATATTTTCTCAGTGTTTATCTGGTGTTAACAGCAATTCTTTGCACAACAATGTTTACGGTGGGTGAGAGTAACTACAGCACAGAATATATTTTTAAATTCGTGCTGGAGATGGATTAAACGATCAGAACCAAGCCAATGGCTTCTAATGCTGTTTGCAACACATTTACTTTAGAATTTTTTTTAGTTCAAGTTAGTCGATAGACTAATGCCTAGATTCTTCAATTTGTGCTCTGAAGATGCGGCGATAGTAGGTTCAGTTTCGTGGATAGTTGACACTGGGTCCCTCCACTCGTGTTAGGAACATTCTCAGTGCTATTTCGTTGTAAAAAAATTCTACTTCGGTTGATGTAGTTCACACTTTGTTTGTGTGTCAACTCTTATGTCATTGAAGCTGTGTTGCTGGACACAATATGTTTATCTTTTGTTTACTCTTTCGTCTACCTATGGATCTCAGCAATTTCGTTGATTTTTTTATGGTTAATCAATTACTAAATTCAAAACACTTGTGGATTCATATTACTAGTAGCAACTCTTTAGTACGTATGCCAGGTTTAAATAATGCGGAATGATTGGGTGTTGCACGACTGACATTTCTATTCAACAACGACTCACGGTGTATCAACATGCTGCAAAAAATCCACACGGATATTTTGGTTGTGGAGACATTTTTACTGGACATCGAGACTTCATTATGGCATGGTAAGATGCTTTTGATCTTGATGCACACAAGTAGTATTTCATCTACTATATTAGGACCAGTGTGAAATGTAGGGTCGATTGAACATTTCCCCGCATCATCCTTCAACAAATTAGTCTATCAAGTACGATTTAACAGACTGTCTTTGTAATGTCCAATGTGCGTATCTTGCAGATTGTAATTAGAAAGTAGATCTACGGAGACAAAACATTTGTTTTAGTATTGTTTTAGCAATACAACACGCAGACGTCCCACATGAAATGAGAATAATAAAACACACAGCATAGTTGCGCAGAGTTTGAAGTTGACTGCAATGAAGTAAGAAATTTGCATTATTAATATTGTTGCATTTATTAATAGGACATCCCTTCTTATGTATCATGAACCCCTTCCAATCATTCTTACGACAAACATGTTAAATCTAATAATGAATGACACATTAGCGAGTGATTAGATTGGCTCAGGTTTGCCTTCACCAATCAGTGCATCGGTCACTTCGTCTATACATGCAGCGATGACGTGAACTCAACACTTTGGTTCCATGTAAGTCATATTTAATTTTCAGACTAGCCTGTTAGCCTGACAACATTATGTTTTCTGATCAAATTTACACCGAATATGCATGTTAAATTAAACTGAACGACCTTGGGCAAGGATAAGACTCCAAATTCAGAAGTGTGGTATTATCTTTGCCATACACAAACACTTGAATTTTCACGAGACACATTCATCTGACTTAGAAAGACCATTTGATATGGCGCTTTTGTGCTTGAGGGTGTCCATGTGAAATGTCTTCTAGACTATGCCAAATGTGCGGCTTGGTGTAAAAAGATAAGCAAACTTAGCTACTACACACGCCTGTTCAGATGCCTGTTTGTACTACACTGCAACAATACACAATAGTGATTACTAGGGGGAAATAAAGAACAGATAATAGCGAGCTTAAGCCGCCACGCACGTAAAGTGTAGTTACGCATGCCAGGATGACTAAATGTGGATATGAGGGATGGGGTAGCAAATCTAGTTTCATCTTGCTACAACTCCCCCTTGCTAGAAACATGCATTTCACGATGCAAATGGACATGTTTGTGGCTAGTGCAATGTCCGCTGTGGGTCAAATGTCACTTCATTTTGACGTGGAAATAAAAGGTATTCGATTAATTGTAGCTATGATGAATTATTTGCCTTTATTGGCACAACTGGTACATATGACAAACCAAGGAGTCAGCAATGACTTGTATGTAAAATGCAAGCGTCATTGTAGTCATAGAAGAAAAGGTGGTAATGGCTATCAACTGGAAATTTCATCACGTTGTTAATATCTAACTGCTTTTATTCAATATGAATCATTGAGACGATGTTCTACAGGTACAAATGCGCCTTGAGACAGGCATTGTGCACTTCTGCTTTCATGCACCGTTCTCGCTGCTATTTGTAATTACGACACTTGGAAGAGGGGTGTGTTTGGATAAGGCCACCTGCTCCAGGAGCATCAGCAGTCACACAAACGAGGTTCTGTGTAATACTGACTGCAGATCCGTCATATTTATTAATATTTGCAATGGTCAATGTTGACATGTGACAACTAGCTTAAAACCGTCAGGCTATACATTTGATATCATCACAAGATAAGAACTTTGAATTCAAATTCTGACATTAAACAAATTCTGTTCGAAAGATTTCACTTTATCAATTATTGATCGTGCGTGTGCAGTTAGCCTGACAACTTACAACCGAATTAGCATGTTAAAATAAACTGCACGACCTAGTGGAAGAACAAGATTCAAAAACAGAACTTCCGTATTGTCTGTGCCAAGCACCAACACTTGAATTACCACGGGACACATTCATTTCACTTAGAGAGACCTTTTGATGTGGCGCTTTTGTGTACGAGGGTGTCCATTTATCATGTCTCCTTGACTAAGCCAAATGTGCCGCTTGGTGTAAAATGAAAAGCCAACTTAGCTACTACACACGCCTGTTCAGATGCCTGTTTGTACAACACTGCAACACTACACTACAGTGACCACTGAGGAAGAGAGCTTACAGCCGACACGCCCGTTTAGTGCGGTTACGCATGCCAAATGTGTGCATGCGAAGGAGTTAACGTGATTACATTACAACATGAAGCGCAACCAGTGGCAAATATCGATCATTCGTCGACATTAATTATCAGGTACACATCTACTGCTCACACCCATACAGTACCTCTTCAAAAAATAAATGTTTTTTTAATACTGTTGGTGGTGCTGCAAAAATCAACAAAGTACACTGCAGTTAGACGTGCGGCAGCGTGAACAATCTGACCCACATGAATTAAAGCATTCGACATTCGTATGAACACGAATATCTCGAACGAAGTAGTAACGAGGATGCAAAAGGAACGTCATGTATTTGGTGATAGGTCAGGACAAGGTCCAGACTTTACGATACGTTCGTAAGACCTACACTGGATGACAAAATGTGGATATGAGGAGTTTGGTACAAATCAAACACTGAGTCATTGTATAGCGCCACTTCACCGCCGCGCAATCACCAGTGTTTAGATTTCTTAGGTACAGTGTGTATTCGAATTATTAAAAGGCCATTTTTAGTGAAAAATAACCCAGGACAACACATTATCTTGAACTGAATTACGGCTGCTTCGAAATTATCATTTCCATGTAGTCTGTCCCAGGCGGTTTATCGGCAGGCCATGAAAGAAGATATAACGCATGACTTGGTTTGTTAGTTTGCTGGTCCCTTTGACAAATTTGACAATTCAGGGATACTTCTTTATGAGTTTCTGATGTCATTTGCATCCGGTTACGCTACAGGTAATCCTTTCTATTGTGTTGACGCCTAAACTTCTATTTTGGAAAGGGTAGCACTTGGGTCAGTGAGCATGCTCCATACAAATTTAACTAACAGATTGAAAATGCGATTGTAAATTTTCACCAATAATTAGGTAAAAAACAGCGGCCACAATGAAAGTATATGAGAACTGTTGTCTTATGACTAAATCTGAGGTAAGCATCACTTGACTGCAAATCTAATGGGTGAATTATTGACGAATTCCATTTACACTAGGGACAGTTTTAATGGCAGTTGTGTATTTACATCATGTATGCGGTAATAGGCCAGGACAGGTTCGAGAAATCACAATACCTTAGCACAACCTACACAAGATGAGATACTTGGAATTTGAGGTATTTGGTACATGTCAAATACTGTGACATTATTTAACCCTACTTCACCTCTACAGTCACAAGTGTTTAGTTTTCGCAGGCACCATGTTCAATTGTTTTATTAACAGGCTGTTTTTCGTAAGAAATTTACAAAATAGCAAATTAGATATAATTGTGTTTTTGCTGCTTCGTGATTTTCATGTCCATTTCGTTTATCCTTGGCAGTTTTTGGAGGGTCATTAAACATTAAATGTTACATGACTCGGATATATGTCCGCAGGTCTCTGGCCAATTTGACAATTTGAGGATACTTCTTTAAGAGTTGCTGAGATCTTTTGCATCCGGTAACGTTACAGGGAGTCTTTAAGGATGTCTTGACATCAGTAACTTTCAAAGAAGTATCCCGGAATTGTCAAATTGGCCATATAGACCTGCGGACATATATTCCAAGTCACGTGACATATCATGATGAATGGCCTGGGTAAAACCGCCTAGTACAGACTGTAGTGGACTGACAGTCAACTCGCGTGCATGATGCTTGCATGAGGGCTCGAGTGGACAAAAGAATAACTCCTTATGTTGTGTGACTGTTAGCATTCGACTGTTAATCGTGCGCACACAAAGCCACTTGGCTGGTGTCACACTAATAAACGGTCGCATTCTCTGTAGCCTCCTTTTCCCCTCTCCTCGGGTTGTAACGGGCTGTTAACTAGAGAGTTGTAAGGAAGTGCTAAGTTTCTAGATACTAAATTAAATGTCCTTCACGTGATGAAATCCTAATACTACACATTTAATTATCCCCACAAGATGATACCACTTTATTTTAACGCTGATGATTGGTGATATCCGTCTAATTTTCACAATTCTCCTCTGTTAACAATTAGCAACACTATTCCTGTAAAGCTCTGTTTTGAGAACAGCAGTGCAGTCAACTTTTTCGCGTACAGTCCTAATGCCCAAGTTTGGTTATTGCGACCTGAGGCCCGTTACCGTAATCAAATGATTGACTTCCAGTTCTGTAAATATTTACATGTTGCTACGTTGCTACCATGAGATGTTGCTACGAAATTTATTGACTTGCTTGAAATTATGCCTTCTGAAATCTCCTATGAAGATTTTAAAGATGCTGCTCTCACACTGTTGATCAGCTTACACAAGGCCCGTCGTCGGAACCTACTTTCCGTTATCGAAATATTTGAGAGGTCTTCCTCTCAAATCCTTTGGCATATAAGCCTCTCGTTGAAGGATATCATAGTTACTAAATCCGTTCAATTCCATATGTGCACTAAAACTTTCTTAGCACACATTAAAACCCCGTTATGTTATTGGCCTGTCAGCGTTCGGCTGCTACGCATGCGTTTTCATGCGCCCACAAACCCACTTGGCTGGTTTGACACAAATAAACCGTCACGTTCTTTATAGCTCCTTCTCCCCTCTCCTCGGGTTGTAACGGGCTGTTAACTAGAGGGTCGTAAGGGCGTGCTAAGTCTCTAGTCACTACAAGACGACTTGGACGTGACGTTCTCAAAACAGCTGAAATTGGGTTTTAAATAATATGAAATCCCCAGTTATTTGTCACTAAAACGGCCTGTAAATAGATCTTTTAGACACTGTACCTAAGGCATTTAAACACTGGTAACTGTGCGGCGATGAAGTACCACTATATAACGTCATAGAGTTTGACTTGTACCACACGCTTCATATCCATACTATCTCACCATGTGTAGGTGGTGCTAACCGTTTGTGAAGTGTGAACCTTAT